TTTAGGGACACCCTGGAGGCTGAGATGCCTTTTAGCCACCTAAAATTAGGTGGGGTGGTCTCACCCTGTCTTATCTTCTCCCCTGTTTTAATCAGATTCTGTTCTCTGCATGGGAATTTTAATTGAATTTTGAATGACTGTGACATGGAGAAGAAAACTTAAGCCTGACCCTTCTGCTTGAGCCTGGGGAGGGCTGGGAGCTCTCTGCAGTGCTCTCAGGGAGTTGGGAATTCAGAGAAGGGATTAAAATGTATTACTGATTATTCCTTGCCACGTGGACTCACAGGGATAATGGATCTGCCCAACTTCCTGAGTCTGAAATCCCCTCTGTTACTAAGATGTGTTACTAAAGGATATGTTTTTACAGAAGTTTGTGTCAACTTGGTGGCAACTTCAGACACCAGAGAATGGGCACCAGAACAGAAAATAAATCTCTGGGCATGTTACCCTTTCTACATGTTCCTGGATTTTAACTAATCCCAAATGCTTGGATGGGGATCCAGGCAGGGTTGAGGTCCATGGGAGAAGCTTTTCCTGCAGCAAATGGCATAAAGATGCACAAAGGGGGTGCATAAAGAGCTCTGAAAAAACTGGAGTGGTTCTAGTAAAGGAGTTTACACTTCAGGGACATGGGCTAGAACCTTCTACTTTCATTTCTTTTTGATTAAGGGAAGGATGGTTGTAGATTAAAGAGCAGTGAGTGAGTTGGAGAGAAGACTGAATGTGGAGAAAACCTTGTTTTGGCCTACTTAGAACGGATGAATGCTGTCAAGCTGTAAAGTTTTAGAGAAATACCAACTTTAGTTTTATAATTCACTTGCACAAGGACAAAGAAGCTGCTGAACAGCATTTTCAAGAGAACTCACAGCCACGAGGTGTGTTTCAAATGAAGATTTTTAGCAGGTTTTCAGTTGAAACTTTTTCTTTAGGAATGAAAAAGGGGAGATTAAAAGGTCACATCAGGAACAAGTGTTTCTTTAGGTGTCTGGTGCTGCTGAAGAGCTTCTTAGGGCTGTTGTGTTCAGTATTCTTCTTGTGAGGTTCCTGCTGGCTCTGGTTCCTGTTCCCATTGCTGTCTGTGAGCCAGAGTTCAGCAAGGGTGTAAATATGTGTGGAATTGTGCCTATTCAGCAGTGCTTGCACCTGTGCACTTGCTGTACCTGAGCCTTGCTGGACATGCTCACACCCACAGGCATGTCCTGTCACCCGAGGGTGCAGCACATGGAGCTCCCAGTGAGAGGCACTGGGGCAGTACCTTAGCCTGGGATGGCAACTCCTGTTTTCCTGGTACCAGACCAGGTGTTTTGGCTGGGAAAACCAGAGTTATCCCATCGTATTAAGCGATGCAGCTCCTGGTTCCTCACAGGGAGCTCTTTAATTCAGTGCTCAGGTCAGGCCCTGGGATGAGGAGGCTGTGCTGCTTCTTGCAGGAGCCTGGTTTCTGGGAAACAATGCTATTCCAACCTAGCCATGGGTTTGTTTTAGTGCTGCCAGAAAAGGGAGTGGGAGAATGGAGGTGCTCTTTCCCCAGACAAAGGGAGGGTTCTGCCAGTGGTGTCTGGGATTTGGTGGAGGCTGGAGGGGGACGTGGTCTCTGTTCCCATTCACTCCTTGGCCTCTGCTGACTCTTCCAGCCAAGGAGTGTTGATGGCAGTTCCCATAACAGCTTTTCTCTTGTGGATGTGTGTCCATTAGGCACCAAATCCTGGCACCTCTTGCTGCATCCCACTTGGTCACAGAATCCCAGAATGTCCTGAGTTGGAAGGACCCACAAGGACCATCGAGTTCAACTCCTGGCCCTGCACAGGCCCATCCCCAACAGTCACACCCTGTGCCCCAGAGGATCATCCAAACTCTCCTGGAGCTCTGGCAGCCTTGGGGCTGTGCCCACTGCCCTGGGGAGCCTGGTCAGTGCCAACCACCCTCTGGGGGAAGAACCTTTTGCTGAGATCCAACCTGACCCTGCCCTGACACAGCTCCAGCCATCCCCTGGGTGCTGTCCCTGGTCCCCCCAGAGCAGAGCTCAGTCCCTGCCCCTCCTCTGCCCCTGCCCAGGAAGGTGGAACTGCCATGAGCTCTGCCCTCAGTCTCCTCTTCTCCAGCTGAACACCCCAAGTGCCCTCAGTGTCCTCCCCCGGCCTCAAATCAAGGCCCTTCCCCATCCTCGTGTCCTCCTTTGGACACTCTCTAATGGCTTCAGATCTTCCTTCCATTGTGTCCCCCCAAACTGCCCCAACATTCCAGGTGAGGCTGCCCCAGGGCAGAGCAGAGCGGGACAATCCCCTCCAGGCAGTGGTGGCAGTGCTGGTGTCCAGGGCTGGAGCTGGGCTGTAGGATCTGGCTTTGCCCTGAGCAATGACAGGGAGAGCGGGTGCCAAACCCTGTTAAATCCAAACCACACCCATGACAGCTGCCCTCAAGTTCTCCAGTTCTGTGCAACTTCAGGGAATGTGAAATTCCATATCTTTGCTCTGTCAGATCTCTGGTCATAGGGATTTGGAAGGCTGGTGCCTGTTTGTAGGGGATTGATGCCACTTCCACAGTCAAATCAGACCACATTTTACACACTTAATAAGAGTGTGTGTGTGTAGGAAACTGTATGTGGGATTTTAATTTTAGCTCCGTGGATTTTTGATAAATTCTGTGATGCTTTCTTTCCCCAGGGCAGTGCTCCAATTTACCTTGTTTTGGTTGCCTTTGTGGCAGGTAGAGCAATTCTTGCCCTCTGCTTATTCAGTTTATATAATAGTCAGCCACTGAAGTTATTTGACAGCTCTGGTGGGAGAGCACAGTATTTAAATCAACAAATATTGAAGGCTTCATTTAGCCAGGTGCCTAAATTTTACCTCCAGCTGTGGTTAGGGAGCTCATTTTTTGTTGTTTTGATGTTTTTTTTTTCCCCTGGCACTGACTTGGCTGCAATAGTTGCTTATATGGCCACAACATGGTCTTTTAAAGACACCAAATGCAGAAAGAGAAGCAAGGGTTGAAAGAATAAGGGCACAGTTGTGGCTCCCTCTGCCCAAAGCTTTTCAAAGAGTTAAATAAAATGGTGAATGAAGTAGCACTTTATCTTCTCCCAGAGTTGTTCCTGCCAAAACCAACCCCTTGTACCTCTTTCTGTCCTCAGAAGGGTCTGGGTGGTGCGAGAGGCAGCAGGTGGAGGTGAGGGCTGGGGCGGCAACTCCTGTTTTCCCATTACCAAACCGGGTGTTTTGGTGTCTCCTGCTTGGAGAGCCCTCAGTCACTGCTGGCATGGGGTTTGTGCCAGGTCAGAAGAGGCATTTGTAAGTCATGTGAGGAGCAGCTGGGGGTGCTGGGGGGGCTCAGCCTGGAGAAAAGGAGGCTCAGGGGGGACCTTCTGGCTCTGCAACCCCCTGACAGGAGGGGGGAGCTGGGGGGGGGTCGGGCTCTGCTCCCAGGGAACAAGGGACAGGAGGAGAGGGAATGGCCTCCAGCTGTGCCAGGGGAGGGTCAGGTTGGACATCAGGAGGAATTTCTTTGCTGAAAGAGTGGTCAGGCACTGGAAGGGGCTGCCCAGGGAGGTGGTGGAGTCCCCAGCCCTGGAGGTGTCCAAGGACGTGGCACTCAGTGCTCTGGGTGGGGGTTGGTCAAAGGTTGGACTCAATGATCTTGGAAGTCTTTTCCAACCTTAATGATTCTGTGATTCATAATGTTGTTTTCCTTGAGTGTTTGGGCTTCAAGAGCAGTGGGAAATGAGATGCTGATCCCAGGGAGCTGGTCTGGCTTGCAGAGTTGTCCTCCAGTGTGACTCCAGGCTCTTCTGATACTGTAGGTGAGAACTGCTTTGATGGGAGCTGGTTGTGACTCAATCCCCCCTGCCCTGACAGCCCACTCAGACACAGCTCTCCCTGGTTCTTGTGTTGCTCCTCATAATTCTGGCCTCTGGAAGGAAAGCAAGCCAAGGAATCCCTAACAGCAGGTTGATGGAATCGTTTTACTGGTCATGCCAGTGAACTGTTACCACTCCTGGTTTCCTGGGGAGCTGCTGGTTGGTCATGTCACAAACTTCCCTGCAAGTACATGGAATTCATACTCAGATTTTTTTCAGCTTGGGTCTGAAATCTCTGATGGGAAAAATTCACTGATGGGGGAGCAGGGAAATGTTTGGAAAGGTTTCACATGGGTATTGATGTTTTAGCTGTGTGTTAACTCTTAGTCAGGCTGCAAAAATCTCGCTGCATTTGAATCATATAATTATTTTAGCCTAGAACTGCATTTAACATGCTTCACCCATGTGTTTGCTCTGGCTGTTACCTCTGAGATGACACCATGAATTCTGTCCTGCTTTGTCCCAGGTAAAGAGCCAGACTCCAGTAGACAACATCCCCGGGAGAGCTGGGATTGCCAGGGAGTTGTTCCTTGTGATGTCTCCTGTAGCAGCAGAGCCCTGATGTAGGTTTGGCTGCTGAGCTGTGTCAGTGCCACAAAAACTCACCCATACAGCTCTACCATGTCTGTGCCACCAACACAGCCCTCCCAGCACAGCTCTCCTGGGTCAGCCTGGCCTTGGGAAGGGCTTTGCCAGAGATCCAGGTGCAAGAATGGGCAGTGTTTTCTTTGCCAGGAGAGGTGTTGACACACAGTCCAATAAATGGAGTGACAGGGAAAGGGAAAGGGAATGTTTGCCACGTCTGCAGCTGAGGCCAGTGAGGATGAATGCACTGCTGTCACCTGAGCCACCCACCCCAAATGTCACCCCGTGGGCATCCAGGTGAGCTGGGTGGGTGGGTGAGTGAGCAGCATAAGAGGACTGTGGTTTAGTTGACGTGGTGATGTTTGGTGTGAGGTTGGATGATCCTGGAGGTCTTTTCCAGCCTCACCAATTCTGTGGTTCTGTGATACGTGTCGAGCAGTTTCTGGAGGAGAGGGTTGCTCCTCATTAGCCACTGTAAGTAGCTGTAGCTTCCCTTTGGAGCTTTGATACCACTTGTGACCCTTTTCTCCTCTCTCCCTCCCTCTCCTCCCTCTTCCTCCAGGGTTTAATGCCATGGCTGCAGATGAAAGCGCTACGGAGAAGCAAGTGGGGGAACCAAAAATGGCAGTAGACGGTGAAACCAACGGTTCCTGTGAGCACAGCGAGGCTGGAGGGCACCCAAACCCAGCCAAAAACACTCAGGACAACACGAAAGTGAGCCAGCAGGACTCTGGGACTAAATTAAATAGGATAGCAGAGAACGGCATTTCGGAGCGGGACGGAGAGACTGGGAAGCAAAACCACCTGAAAGCAAATGACTTCACACAGACTTCTGTCACAGGGAGCAATGGGTATATCCTGACCAAGCAGATGGCACAGGAGCAGCCCCTAAGGACTACCAGCACCTTTGCTTCCCTCACCGGCCATGCTGCAAAAACCCTGCCTGGAGGAGCGGGCAAGGGCAGGACTGTGGGCCCCTTTTCCCAGCTCCAAGCCACGATGCCAAGCAAGCTCGGGGAGGGCAGTAAGGACATGGATGCTAAAAAAGGCCCTGCTGCTAATGCTGAAGTCAAGGTCCACAGAGCACGGAAGACAATGCCTAAACCCACCCCCAGCCTGGTAATGTATCTGCCCAGCACTGCCTCGGGTTGCTCTCGGCTTTCCCTGGGTGTGTGAGGGAATCCTGCCTGCATGGGAATGTGTAATTCAGAGGTGGCCCACTGGATGGATTTATTTTTTCAATTTTTTCTAAAATATATATATTATTAATATATTTATTTTTATTGTTCTCTTCCCACAGACAGACAGAGAGACCAAAATATAGTCACATTGCCACCATCAGCTCCCGTCCCCAATGTGTTTCTAAATATATAATTGATTGATTGCCTTCTCCAACAGATCTATGTGGGACACTAAATGGCCTCTCCCTCATGGCTCTGTTGCTTGTTGTCTGCTGACATCCAGAGCTGCCTGTGAAACAAATTAGATTTCTTCTAAGGTCGACCCAAAGGAAATTAAGCATAGCATGTAAACTTGAGGCTTCTCCTAAGCTTGGAGGCTGTCAAGAGGCTGATCTGTTAGGCAGCTTGATTGCATTGCTGTAGGAATCATTATGGGCTAAACCAGATGATGTTTTCCCTCTCTGTTGCCTGCAGAAATGCAGCTTGTGAGGAAATGTTCACTCCAGAATCCTCAGGTTGGATTTACCACCACTTCACAAAACAGAGCTCTGCCTTTTTTGTTAGGAGGCAAAAGGAGTTGTCATTTGGTGTGTTCATGTTACAGTGAGGGGAAGAAATGGACCTTTCTTTGCCATGAGACAAGTTTGGGTCTTTTAGTTAGCTTTTTGGTTCTTTGCAAGGGGTAGGGAATAGATCCTGGAGCAGGCAAGTCTCCACTACAAGCAGTTGGTCTTCATCCCTGTGCTGCTTTATATTTAACTACAGAGAACTGGATCCTCTTGCTGTGCTGATGGTGGAGGGAGACCAGCCTTTTAGGTCAAGGAAGGGATTGCCAACCCTGCTTGGCAATGGGATGACTCCCAGGAAGGCGTGGAAGCTGCTGCAGCTTCTCAGGGGTGGGTGTGATGGGTCACTGACACCATCCAGCAAACCCAGAGTGATCCTCACGTGTCCCCCACGTGTGGCAGCACAGCAGCACTGAGACGTGAAGGGCTCAGAGCTGTGGGTTGCTGTGATCTGGAGCAGGGCAAGAGAGAGGGAAAAGGAAAAGGGAGGGGTGGCACCTTGCCAGCCTCAGATGGGGAAAGGTGCCGGTGGCACCTGTGCCTCCGGGAGCAGGTGGGAGTCCAAAGAGCACAGCAAGATAACAAACCTGTGGGCACCCAGCCTTGATAGCAGGGCAGGAACTGCTGCCTGCCTGCCTGCCATGATTTCCCAACCAGTCTCCCAAACCACTCATTTCCCCTCTGTCTTGCCCTGGTTGCTTTGGAGTTCCCTGCTCTGTGAGCCCGCTGTGTTTTGGGCAGGGGGAGCCCAGGTGCCCCAGTGCAGCTGGATGAACACCTCCCTTCAGGCTGTCTCTTACCCAAAGAAGGCTTTGCAGCCCAAATTCCCTCTCAGCTTTCCTCCAGCAGCCTATTGTGCACTGAAAGTAGGCCAGGAAAACCCTCAGACCCTCATGGAATTCCACAGGGAGTGATCCCATGGGGCCGAGCGGTTGAAAGGGGCAATTCCCTTTTAAAAGTCTGGTCTCTGCTCCGTTAGGAGGGAGTGTTTTCCTCATTCATATTTTATGATACATCAGAAGAATATTTATATTCAACCCTTGGGCTGTAAGGTCTGTCTCTAGGAAGTGGTGTGTGGAGTTTGGGAGCACTTGGAGAGCTGGGACACCACACTCAGGGACGGTGCTGGTGATCCTTATTTGCTCACACCATAAAAGTGGCTTCAAAAACCAAAGTCTCTACTCGTTGGGCTGCTCTGGATAGTACACAGCCAGTCCTCAGCTCCTCTGGCCATTTGCCTTGGGCTTAAAATAGGGAGAGAAGCAACATTCCCAGGAAGGGTGGTGAGAAGAGGCTGTTCCCATGTTCTCTGCTCAAGCCTCTGCAGTTGAACATGAACCCAAGATTTGATCTCAGTACTGCAAGACAATAAAACATCTGTTGTGTTCAGCCTTCCTGATAATTGCTACCTAATTTTTCCCCATTGTCTTTAGAATTTACATGCTATTTTCTTTGAAGGAGCAGAGTCCTTGCTCGTTGTCATTTTTCTGCCCTGATTATTTCTTTGTTGAGCTGCTCAGAAGAGGCTCCTCGGCCCAGCAGTGCAGGAGCTTTTCCACGTTCACACCTTTTCCCTTTCAAAAACCACCATGAAATCAGGTGCTGTATCCCAGGAAATAAATTGTGGAAATCACCCAGAAGCTGATGTTACAGGACACAGTGGTTTTCTTTGCTAATATTTCTTAGAGCATTGTTGTTTTCTTGGTAGGACTGTTCTTGCAGAGCTGTGTTGCCTGGGAGAAGGAAGGGAGGAAGGTATTTTGTTGCCTGCAAAGTGTAAGCATTTGTTCCCCCTGGCTCCTGCAGAAACCCACTGGGGACAAAGAATTGTTTTCTGTAATCCGGTAGCTGCCAGGGGACCTTGGTAGCCTTTTCCTGCACGTGTGAATTGGTCTCTGAAAGGAAGAAAAGAATTTTCTCACCAGTTTAACCAGCTTTTTCTCTGTTTAGGAGTTGCTTCCTGAATTGGGATCGAAGCTGAATCTGAAACAGGTGACACTTTTAATTGATGTTGTCGCATGTTAAGGTGGTTTTTGAACAGAGACCTCAGAAGGGTTGTTGGCAGCATCATTTCTGCTCCACTTTTGAGTAGAGCAGTAACACAAGTGTTGTACCTTTCAGAAGAATCTTTCTTTTGTTGCTAATCCATTTACAATCCCCTTAAGAACCCGAAAGTTTCCAGGCCAGACTGAAAGACAACTCTCTCTGTGTATGTGTGTGTGTCCCGTGCTTGGAGAAGGCATCTCCTGCTTGAAAACTCCAATTTCTGAGCTTAACATCATTAAAACATGAGGCATAAAGGCTGATAAAGGTACTGAAAGCATCCCAGAGTTCTCTTTGGTGACAGGAGGAGCAGGTGGCTCAGTGGGGAATCCCGAGTTCTGTTTCCACGGCTCAGTGACCACAAGGCAGGAGTTTGAGGTGTGTGTTTGTGGTGGTATTTTTTATGCTGTGCAGGGGACTGGGATGGGGGAACTGAACTGTCAGAAGGAACAGTGCAAAAATCTGCATTAAATGAGCATTTTGGCCTGATTCACACTGTGAGCCCAGTTTAACCTGGGGAAGACAAACCCCAGGCAGGGAGGAGGAACTTGATGTGGGAGGTGCTTTGCTTATGCTGGTGTTTCTACCAATATTCATCAAACTATACCTTCAAGCAGTGTTGCCACTGAGAATCTGATCCCAGAGCTGGTAATGCCTTCTCTCTGTGTGCACACAGGGCTGGGTATTCCATGTCAGTGCCCAGCTCTGTGGGAGCTCTAACCTAAGAACACCTTGTGTTCCATCTCCTGGGGCCAGGCAGGTGGCAACTGGAGGACTGCAGGTGTCTGGGGTTGCTCAGCAAGCTCAGACCCTCCAATATGCAGAGAATTTAAAATAAAAGTGCAGGGCCTAATGGGGATGAGGATGGGAATGTTGTTTCTTTGGGGGGGAGTAAATAAAAAGCACAGGGTGCAGTGAAACAGAGCTCTTGGCTGATGGCAGGGGCTCTGCCAGCCTGGGTGAACCCAGAAGGTCCAGCAAGGAATCTCTCCAGAGGGTATCAGGGTATTCATGGGCAGACTGAAAGTGTGAAGTTCATGTGTGAGAGCTTGGCCACAGTTAAATATCACAGAACATCCTGAGCTGGAAGGACCCACAAGGACCATCCAGTCCAACTCCTGGCCCTGCACAGACACCCCAACAATCCCACCCTGTCCCTCAGAGCCTTGTCCAAACCCTCCTGGAGGTCTGGCAGCCTTGGGGCTGTGCCCACTGCCCTGGGGAGCCTGGTCAGTGCCAACCACCCTCTGGGGGAAGAACCTTTTGCTGAGATCCAACCTGACCCTGCCCTGACACAGCTCCAGCCATTCCCTGGGTGCTGTCACTGCTCACGGAGAGCAGAGATGGAGCTGCCCCTCAGGAGGAGCTGCAGACCCTGGTGAGGTCTGACCTCAGTCTCCTCCAGCTGAACAAACCCAGTGCCCTCAGCCACAACTTGTAGGGCTCCTCCAGACCCTTCAACCTCTTCCCTGATGGGAAATGTTCAGGAGTGACAAGGCCACAGGGTGCCATTTTACTGCTCACACAGAGGGGTTCCTACAGAGGGAGGTGGGAGGTGAAGGTGTGCTGTGCAGTACATTAAATTTTGCATTTAACTGATTGTGCTGGTGCTGCCCCAGTGCCGACCACAGCCCACAGAAATAACTGTCCTAACCCCCAGCAGATCTATTTCTGTCAGGAGCCTTGTTGTCACATCTGGTCTGAGCTCCCCTGTTTCATTTTGACTGGTTTGTGACACTCCCTTCCCCTGGAGCTGCTCCATCCAGGAGGGCACAGGCATGAGAGCCCACACCTCTGAATACTCTGGTTCAGAAACCCATTAAATGCAGGTTTGTAGGAACATCTACACTTCAGAAACCCATTAAATGCAGGTTTGTAGGAACATCCACACTTAAGCTCAGCCTGCCTGGCAGCCTAAACCACCGTGATTTTATGCAGAGAAGTGACTGCACTCAAATCAATGTAACTCTAATGAAGTCAAAACAGAATCCCTCCTCTGATGGGCACATGTTGATCAGCAGATAAAGGGTGGATCAGCCTTGTCTCATCTAGATTAAGACCAAAGCCTTGCAGGTTTCTGTCTGTTGCTCCAAGGTAAGGCTTGCTCGGGATCCTGAAATTCAGCAGTAAAAACATAATCCTTCAGCAGCACAGCAAAGGGGGAGCAGCACCACTGCAGCTCCTACGGGCACTGTCATCTGCCTGTGATCAATTTTTTATAGCAGACTGATATTTCTTGCTTAAATACCATTCACCAGCTGTTAGAGGCAGATCCCCCTGGGAGCTGCTGCTTCGTGCTCTTCAAAGGCAGCGCCTTGGTACAAATCCTGTCCCCCCCTGCCCGGTGGATGGAGGGAACAGAGCAGCTCCCTGACAGCTGCTGTGCTGCCCCGTGGCAGTGCTGCTTAGTTTAGTCCTCCTGGCCACTTGGCTTTGGTTTCCAGCTTGTTTTATGCCAGAGATGAAAGTCTTTAAAAGAAAAGAAAATAAGAAAGCAAGTCCATCTAAGCCTGGGGTGGTTTGAGGCATCGAGGGTGTCAGTCCTTCTGCAGAGCTCTCCAGAGCTGCCCTGCTCCAGGCAGGACCAGCAGGACTTGTGCCTGTGTCCTTCCACCAGCACTAGGATGGATTCTGCTCTGGTTTTCCCCTTCCAGCTTGCTGGATTTGCTCATGGAAAAAACCCCTTCCTTAATTGCTGGGCTGTGGGGAGAATGCAGTGTGTGGTCTGTCAAACGGACACGGGGGTTGATTAGGAGTGTTTGTTCTGCATTTTTGCTTTCAGGGGAAAAAACCCAAAAACCCCTTCCTTAATTGCCGGGCTGTGGGGAGAATGCAGTGTGTGGTCTGTCAAACGGACACGGGGGTTAATTAGGAGTGTTTGTTCTGCATTTTCGCTTTCAGGGGAAAAAAACCCAAAAACCTGAGGATATTCTATCTTTTGCCATTTTTAGTAACTTCCCCCTGCTGCTCTAAGGGACTTCTGTGCCAGTAACAGAAATGTGGTCGATCCCACTGAAGTGTAGAAAGCACTTGAGTTTAATTCCTGTAAACAGATAAAATATTGTGTTCTTGCCCTAATCTAAGCAGTTTTCTTGACTATTTCTCCCAATGGTGCTGGTCCATTTTTGCTGTTTGCTGACACAAGCATTGTTAGAAATGTTGAAGTAGCTGTCCAGCTTCTTCACTTTTCCTTGCAATGCCCAAGATGAAATAGAGACATTGCAGCCTTTTGCTTAGGATGAGCTGATACCACACGAGAAGCTGCAAGAAATGAAGATGTTGTGATGCAATTTCTTTTTCTATCTCACTTTTTGCTCCTTTCTTGGCCTCCAGTGGCCCACATATGTGAGGGTTAGTACAACATGTGAGCACAGGGAGCTCAAACCGTGTCCTGGAGTTTTCTTTATGTGGAATTGTCCTCTCTGTACTCCTCTGTGCTTGATTGGTAAATATAATTGGAGAAGAAAGAAGGCAACCCTGGCTGTTTTGAACACCAGTGGAGCTTGTTTAGGGTCAGGAATGGTGCTGTTCACCTGTGATTTGGTTGTTTTCAGTGGGCCCATGGAGGTGTTGGATGAAAGCACCGCTGGTCTCTTGAATGTTTGCTGGTGGGAGGGAAGGAGGATGAACTTCATCCAATTGCTCAGTTAAAAATCAGTTATAAAACTCAAAGGTTGTGTTCCCTCACTAGTGACCTTAGCAGATCAGTCCATGTCCAAGAGCTCATCCAAAGCTGTGGTTCACTTGCCCAACATGGTTCTCTTGGTGCAGGCCCAGCTTTGCTGGTCTGACATTTTCCACCTTTAGGACTCTGGATCTCCAGGAAAGGAAGCAGGAATGTGTTGGATTTGTCACACCACGCTGGATGAGTGGATGCTGAGTAGCAATTGTTGCAGCACCTGCTGCTTGCAACCCCCTTTTTGTGCTTTGCCAGCACGAGTGTCCTGTGCTGGGAAAAGGGAGTTTGCTTGGCTGGACACTGAGAAGTTTTGTGGATACCTGTGCCTTGTGCTGGGAACAGGGAGGGCAGGAGGAGCCTGTCCATCATGAAACTGGAAGAAGGTGGCATGTGGCAGGAGCATGGAATTGTTACAGTTGGAAAAGACCTTTAAGATCATCAAGTCCAACCATCAACCAGCACCACCACCATGTCCTTAAGTGCCACACCCACATGTTGTTTGAACTCTTCCAGGAATGATGACTACATCACTTCCCTGGGCAGCCCATTCCAATGCTTTCCAACCCTTTCTGAGAAAAAGTTTTTCTCAATGTCCAAATCTGGATATCCCCTGTTGGACCTTGAGGCCCTTTCCTCAGGCGTGGATGGCCGGGCTGTGCCAGCGGCTCTGCACCCCACAGAGGTGGCTCAGAGCTGGGTCCTGCCAGCCCTGGGCTGGGCCACAGGGTGCCAGGGCTTGGAGGCAGGAAAAACCCACACCTGAGGCTTTCCTTGGACAGTTTCCCTGGCAGGAAAGTCGCTGGAGCTCAAGGGGCTGAGCAGCATTTTGAAGGAGTCCTCTGATGGTCTGGGGGGTCACAGGTGGGGCTGAGAGCTTTGGGTTTAAATGGATCACTGTCATTCCTTGTTTCTGCTTTGCTTAGGTGGGAGGGTGTCATGCCCACATAGCCTGGCACCCACTGACCGCCTCCCAAAGGCACAGTCTGACTTTTCCTTTGCTGCTTTTCTTGGAAGCTGCTCCCTCACCTCCCCGAGAGGAGCTGGGTGTACCTGGGCAGGGAAGGAAGCAGAGCTGTCTGTGCAAGGAAGGGCTCAGGAGTGCTTGACTGGGATTATAAGGAAGCAGAAATTCCCAGGAAGAACAGAGTGCTGGCCTAGCAAAGCCTCTCTTCTGGGAACATTTAGATTTGGAGTGGATAGAGCAGAGCAGAAGAGCTCAGTGCAGGAGACCAGGACGGGCTGTAGCTGCAGCCTCGAGTGAAGGGCAGAATTCAGGGACATCAGAAATGGGAAAAGAATGAACTTTCATCCACTAAATCCACTTTTGAAGGTGTAAAATTTAATAAGAGCAGCAAAGATGTAACTGTTTTATGTGGCTGAGAATGAGGAAAGATGGTGAGAAAACTGGCTGTAAGTGCTTACAAATCTGGGCTGATCCTTTTTATTGCAGTCCTTAGATGTAATATTTAATTTTTACCTCTATCTATCTATCTATCTATCTATGAGAGAGATATGCCTGCTCATCTCCCATGCCATCAGATCCCCTGAGAGATCTGCTCACCTCCTTGTGGGAATTCTTGTTCTTTACCATGGCTGCATATGCCTCCAAGTGATAAACCAGATCTCACAAGACCTAATTTGATTTAAAAAACCCCCCTACCTGTTTTACCAGAATTGCCATGAAAAAGTCACATTTAGCAGTTGCCATGTATTGAAGATTTTAAATTTATTTCCGTGCTGTAATTACAGGGGCAGAGAAGAACCACAAGCTAATAACACACTACTTTTTAATTTAGAAATTGGATTATATTCTTCCAAACGGTCTGGCATGTTTTGAATGTGAATTCCTCATGTTTGGGAATAACAACACCTTTTATCAGAGACCAATTGCAAGAACCTGCACATAAAGGACACAAAATGCAGG